GCTATGATTTTTTCCGGATCATAAAGAGATTTAGAACAGTATCTACAACTCACTTTCGTTCTGACGCTTCGCTTGCTTTAATTGAGAAGATGATTAGAGACAAATGAAGTCTCTCCCTGCAGCCGGAAACTTCCCCTACCCGGGTTGTGGCATATCTGCTGCTCACTATGCAAGCAAAGACTGATAAGCTTGACTGAATCATAGGAAATACCCTTTGGGGACAAGGGCAGACGAGACACGGGAAGATCCAGGACTGCACCCCCTCTCCCCCGGCCTGTCTCAAATGCTAATAGACACCATGTGGGATTTGGATCAGGGTAGATTGCCGTTCCATATGATTTTGCTGAGCAAAACGGGGTGACCACCAACACCACATGTGTCCTCTACACTATTATTAGCCCTCAAAGAAAACAGGTGAGCATCTGACCCATGAAAAGAAGGTGAAACCATTATAAAAAGAAAACTAGGGGGTGGGAGCACTGATAGCGGTGAATGAAGTTATGAACATAGTGAGTTTGGGGTCGTTCACTGACACTGCTTCTTCAAGACAAACAAAGGAAAGTGCTGCTTCACACAACATATAATTAACTTGTGGAACTCACTGGCACAAGATGCAGGCATAGCTTCTTTAGCTCTGATGGCTTTTTAAAAAGGGATTAGAAAAAGCAGAGGTCTGCTCACCATTACAAATAGCTAACCTCCATGTACAGATGCAGTCTACAAGGGAACAAAGAAAAGAGACGAGTCTGGCCCTTTTATTCCCACTAGCATTTGGCTGACCTCTGTGGAAATTGGGGGGCTGAAATTAACAAAGGCTTTTCATACTAAGGTTTCCATTCTCAGCTTCGACTTTCAACAGAGAGAGAGCAAGGCCAGTCCTGTAATCGACTCAGATTCTGAGTAAAAGGGGATTGCTTATTTTTGCCTAACAAGAGCAAAACAGATACAGGCCCGCAAGCGCACGGATTCCTTAGAAACAGGGTGGGAACACTGTCGTTTGCTCCTTCTGTGCCTCTGAGCAACTGCTTTGCAACAAGGTGTTTAATTAAAATCAAGCATTCTCACACAGCTTCTCTGTGCAGGCAGCCTCACAGGTGCTCAGGTGCACAGTCTCGTGCACAGAATGGCACCAGAGTGAAAGCGGCACACATAGGTGTAAAATACAAACCATCGAGGAGAGCTTAAAGGGAGGATGGTTCAGGCTGACACACTCGTGAGTTAAAAATAAAGGTGTGCCTCGCAGCTGCTTCCATCCAATGCTGAAAACTAAAGGGACCTCAGAGCGGAGAGCAGGAACCTTTTCACACAGTGCACTATCAGCTTATGGGACTCACTGCCACTGGATTCCACAGTGGCTGCAAACATTAAAGGGTTTTAGAAGGGTTAGATGGATGCATGGAGGGAAGTTTTATCAGTCACTGTAAAGCAAAGCATTAAAACCTCAATAATCAGAGGGAGTCTACCTCTGAGTACGAAATGTTGGGGGAAAGCGATAGGGGATGTTATAGCCACCTTGCAGAACACTCTCCTGCAAAAACCCACCCAAAAAATGGCACCAAGTTACTCCAAATTCCGTGCCCTGCATTAATCATTCAAATATATCTGATTTCTCATATTTTACACATTCCACTCTGCAATTTGTTTTTAAAAATTGAATTTCATTTAAATTGAAGCGTGGTATTTTCGCTTTCATACAGGTATTTGTACTCTTTTATATAATTTAACCATGCTCAGGAGGGCAGGAAGGAGGCACAGCTAAGCATTAGAACACCTGTTTTGCAGGCAGAAAGTTCCTAGATCGTTCCCAGCATCGCCAGGTAAAGGGTCTCAGGTAGCAGGTGCTGGGAAGGACCTTCCCCTGCCTGAGACCCAGGAGAGCCACTGCCAGGCAGAAAAGACAAGACTGGTCTGAGCTGGATGGACCAACTTGGTCTGGCTTGGCACGAAGGCAGCTTCAAGTGTTCCCATCAAGCAGTCCTGTCCTAAACCACTGGCAATCTTATTCATTCCTTTTCCAGCTCCTGAGATTTGCCTAACTGCAGCTCACACATACTCAAACGTTCACTTGTAACCATAAGATCTAGAAACTTGGTGTTTTTAAAAGTAAGATGGAATATGAGATTAACATGAACGGAACTTTGCAATTCAGCAGTCTTTCGGTCTCCTGGCACCCTTTCGTGGCCGTGCAGAAAAGCAACAGTGGGGAGCCATCCTAAGTTATGTCTTGGTATGGTATTTTGTCCCACAGTTGCACAATATAGAGTACAAATTATCAATAGTGGTAATTCAGGTCTGCAACTTTTACCGTAGCAATATTTGAGAAGAAGAGAGGCACCTCAATGTTTCTTTCCAGGGGGTGACAATTTTGCTTTGGACTGGTTTGGGTCCCACTCAGGGGCAGCTTTTGTGCATGCTTGCTGCTGGGCTGCAGGGGGACCCAATTTGGGGGAGTGGGGGTGGGGAGAAGAGGAGATAGTTTGAAAAGCCAAGTTGATTCTCTCCAAACAAGGGAGCGGGTTTTTTTGTACATGCAATTTCCACACATTTCAGCCAGGATGGGATAAGCAATTCATCACCGCCGCTTCGTGTGGTTTTCAAAGTGAATGGATATGCAAATCCACTATTGCGGGATTTCAAGAGTCGGAGATGATGCCTAGGAATCGAAAATGTGTAGAACAGCAAGTGCAAATTACTAAGACTCTTGGATCTAATATTAGAGCAGGCTATTAAAATGAAAACCCAACGGTGGAGGGAGAAATGGCGGGGAAGGAAAGAGGCAGGCTGGTAATTAAATCTCTATAGCAAAAACTGGCACTAAAGCAAGAAAAAGAGGCTCCGATGCAAGGCCACACTGGCTTGTTCTCTGCCAGTCATTCTGGGAGACGTCTTTCACCCTCAACACAGCTGCCATTCGCTCAAAAGCCCCTGTGTGGGAGACGCTCCTCGTGGATTGTGTCTTAGCTGAGGTTCCGTGTGTGCCACAAATTCATGCCAGCACAGTGGGTGGCGCTGGGAGAGAGGGTCTCCTCTCGATACCCCATGGTATGTAGGGTCCCTCAGGGGCTATCCTCTCCCCAATGTTATTTAACATCTATATGCACCCTCTCGCCCAGCTGGTGTGGAGTTTCGGGCTGGGATGCCACCCAAGCATCCATCTGTTGATGGATGAACAGACTCCGACCCAAGAAATTTGGCCAAGGGTCTGGAGGCTGTGGTGAGGTGCTTGAAGCAGAGCCAACTGAAACTGAATCCAGCAAAGATAGAGATTCTCTGGTTGGGTGGGGGAGACTCAGGTTTGGGGCACGAACTCCCAACTCTTGACTTTGCACCTTTAACACCAGTGCAGACGATCAAGAGCTTGAGTGTTTTTCTGGATACCTCCTTATCCCTGGAGGCCCAGATCACAAATGTTGCCAGACTGGCATTTTTCCAGCTGTGCCAGATCAGGCAACTGGCCCTCTACTTGTCTCGCCCTGACCTAGCCACAGCAATCCACGCCATGGTCACCTCTAGGCTTGATTACTGTAACTTGCTCTATGTAGGGCTGCCCTTGAGGCTGATCTGGAAGTCACGACTTGTCCAGAGTGCAGCGGCCCAGGTCCTTACAGGGACACTGGTAACATCACATATCCAACCTGTGCTTCACCAGCTGCACTGGCTCCAAGTGGAGTACTGGGTTAGGTTCAAGGTGTTGGTTTTGACTTTTAAAGCCTCAAATGGTCAGGGACCAAGGTACTTGCAGGACCGCCTCTCCTGGTATGTCCCCCGGAGAGCGTTACACTCAGGATAACAACATCTACGGGATGTCCCTGGCCCAAGGAGCATCTGGCTGTCCTCGACCAGAGCCGGGGCCTTCTCAGTCCTGGCTCCGACTTGGTGGAACTCTCTGCCAAACAACTTCAGGGCCGTGCAGGACTTGTTACAATTCTGCAGGGCCTGCAAGTTGAGACGTTCTGCCAAGCATACGGTTGAGGACAGCAACGGTTTTTAACAGCACTCGAATCTATCAGTTGCCGCCTCACTCTCCTCCCCCCATGTTAATGTTAATGGGGGTCACATTTTTACTGTGGCGCCATGTAGGCTTCCGTTTTTTGATAGTATATCTGATGTTCTAATTTTTCCTTTGTTTTAAACTGTTGTAGACCGCTCTGAGCCTCCTCAGCGGGGAGGGTGGTATAGAAATTAAATGAAATAAATACAGTTTGTAGTCCTTAAGGCTGCTTGGAAAGCCTTCAGAGGGTTTTGCCATGGCTGCTGAGATCTCTGGAGACAGAGAAGTGGCTGGAGAAGAGTTGCACTGGCCAGGGCCCTTGCCCCTCCCACGAGCAGAATAAAAATGCAAAACAAGCTCGAGCGTGTTCAGAAGAGGGCAACCAGGATGGTGAGAGGGTTGGAATCCAAGTCTTATGAGGAAAGGCTGAAAGAGTTGGGTATGTTTAGCCTGGGAAAGAGAAGGCTTAGAGGGGACATGATTGCAGTCTTCAAGTATTTGAAGGGCTGTCATGTAGAAGATGGAGCGGATCTATTCTCTCTTGCTCCAGACTGCAAGACTAGATCTAATGGGTGGAAATTACAAGGTAGTCGTTACAGGCTAAATATCAGGAGAAACTTCCTAACTGTAAGAGTGGTTGAGCAGTGGAACAGACTGCCTCGGGAGGTGGTGGATGCTCCTTCACTGGACATTCTTAAGCAGAGGCTGGACGACCATCTTTTGGGTATGTTGTAGGGCTATCTTTCGGCTATGCCCCTGCAGAGTGCAGGGGGTTGGACTAGATGACCTGCAAGGTCCCTTCCAACTCTAACATTCTATGATTCTAACAGCAAAAAAGTTGCAGATTATATAAATAAAACAAATGACACTTATTATGCAGTTTACAGAATCTACCCCCCCCCCTTCTTACTGCGGAATTTAGAAAAAAGAATGCACAGGCCTGATCTCAGCTCTCTACCATGGAGCCCAACGCTGGACAGAAAGACAAAATGAAACAAAAGATGCTTACAGTTTATCTTCCTTCCTCTTCTTATGGGGATCCACTAACCGAAGCGTGTCCCGGATCACGGCCACCTTAACTTCTTCGTCGACAGGGCTTGGGACACACTCAAAAACTCCTGGAGAGAGCTTTAAGAATCCAAAGGGCAGAGTGATCAGGGCAAAGGGGATTCAACACCTCGTGGTCCCACCATATTCCTTGCAAAAGAGTTCGTCACAGCTAGTTCAAAATTGCATGACTTGCCTCCTGGCAGAAGGCTCGTCTTCTAGAGGTTTGTCAGCAACTCTTACCTACGATGCTGGGTGAAGCCTCCAGGTGCAGAGGCAGGATATCTCAGAGGGCCTAACTTAACAATATACGTTTCCCAGCGACGTTCCCAGGTCAGGCCAACAGGTATGTTCCAGGACTTTCATGCTTCCCCAGCGCATGTGGGCTCAATTCAAATTGGGACCACAGGGCAAGAGGAAAGGGAGATGAAGCCTTTGACTTTTCTCAGTTTGCCTTGTACAAGGTCTCCCTGGCTGTTTCAGGTTAGGAAAACAATGTGCGGCAGGGGACGCTTGAGTCCCTTTTCCCCAAGTACTGTGATCAGAGGTCATTTCGGGGGGGATCGCAGGGGATCGCAGTTCCACCGGGTGAGGTACGGGGGGCGGGGCACATGACGAAGCCCCGCCCCCTGCTTCCGGCCGCCCCACTTCCGGCCCTCATTCAGCCAGGAGGAGGCAGGAGAAGAGGGAGGGTAAGTTGCTTCCTCCCTGCCTCTCCCCACCCCTGCCTGCCTGGGGCCAGGGAGGGCCTTCGCGGGGCTTCCTTGCACTCCCGCTGGCCTTGCAGGTCCACCGCTGGGTCCCTCATGGGGCTCGGCAGTGGAGCTGCAAGGCCGGCACCAGCGGCCGGGACCGTTGGGGGCAGGGTGTGTGGCCTTATGACACACTTCTGGTGATGTCAGGGGGTGTGGCCTTATGACACACTTCCGGTGATGTCAGGGGGTGTGGCATATACTAATGAGTTATGCTAATGAGTTCCCCTAGCTCTTTTTCTACGAAACGACCCCTGACTGTGGTCCTAATCCAAAATGGGTCCACAAGTGCCCAGGAGGCATAGAGCTCCCCAAGATATGTCTGTTGACCCAACCCAGGTATCAACCAAGAGAAGTTAAACTGTGTAGTTAGGCCCTGAGTGCCAGATGCTGGGAACAGCTACTGACTTTATGCTATCTTTGGGGGCTTCCCAGAAGCATCGTGATTCTTGCATCCAGAAGGGTTTGGAGTACAGAAATCCATGGAGAGTTAAAGGGAACCTCAGTCAGCAGAGTCAAGATACCTTCGAATAACAGGGGCTAGAGACAAACTCAAGAGGATGGCCACCCTGCATGTTTGCTTCCAGGAGGAATCTGGCTGCTCTGGCCAGAGACAAAATGCTGCGTGTCCTTGGCCTGACCAACGTGGTAGCTTTGTTACTATTGCTGCTTCAGGCTCTTGTACTCTCTGTCTATGAATCTGCTTGCTTCCCTCCTGCTCAACTTGTACTTTTGCAAACAACAAAACTACTTTGAGTAACGGAGTGACAGGAAGACCGATCAGCCCCAGATGGGCCAAGGACCATGGGAACAGTGGCCGGGCTATGCCTTCAATGCCAGCTCAGAGCTGCACAGCTCAGGGTCACAAGCGCACGAAATCCCTGTTGGGATGCTCTGGCCTGACATGCACTCAGTTGGATAAAGCTGGATCCACGCACCTGTGGCTCTGTGCGGAGAAGGTGTGTCCTTAAGCATGGGAGGACCCGACGGAGCTGGAGGGCATGGGAATGAGGCTCCAGGGGAGGGACCAACTATTGAGGTGAGCCTTAAAAGCCATAATATGGTACTCGTGGGGGGGGGGACCGGAAGAGGGAATTGCAACCTTTTAGAAAAGGCTGGGCAAATGTAACCTCAGCCCTGCCGTGACAATAACGTGTCGCTTGGACCTCCATTTGTGCCTGGGTGTGTTGCTTTCCAGGGATGGAGTCACGTCCTCCAGGTGAGCAGAGAGGCTCCAGGACCCAGGGGTCATTTCCTGCAGGAGCGCACAGGAGCAGAGCTCCGACAGTAAAGAGCCCAGGGGGCGGGCACATTCAACAAGCCCCACCCCTGCTCCCAGCAGCCCTCAATCAGAGCAAGAAGCAGCCAGGTAAGTTGCAGAGCTCCCCCCCAACCCCCCCGGCCAAAAACAGTCCAGCGGCAGCTTCAAGACCAAGTTTTATTCAGGTACAAGCTTTCCCTCCTCTGCAAGGACAAATCTGCACATTCCCCCCCCCAATAGCTGGCAATCCAAAACAGTCCAGTGGAGCCTGAGCGGTGGGTGTTGCCTTCTGACACACCTCTGGTGACGTCAGGGGGTGTGGAATATGCAAATAAGTTATGCTAACGAGTTATGCTAATAAGCTCCTGCACCTCTTTTTCTACGAAATGACCCCTGCCAGGACCCATGGCAAACAGAAAGGTGTGTGGAGCAGGGAAGCTCTCAGAAATCCAATTAGGGGCTGTTCCGCATTCTCATTTCCCTCACTTGTAAGTTCCTGTTTCCACGGGGGGAGGGGGGGGGCGCAGTTCTGTTCCACACGTGTTTTGCTCCCTTCAGGGGTTGATTCGACATTACTCCAATTTATGCCCAGCCTACCTTCCTGCGGATTTAAACTGCAGGGTTTTATGCTGGACGTGAAACAGTGTAATATCAAATTGACCATTAGGGGAAGCAAAACACATGCAGAACAGGGAAAATACTCTGAAGAAGTGGGAACTTACCAGCAAGGGAAATGAGAATGCAGAAGATGCCCTAAGTTACTGATGATAAAACTGGCAAAGATTCCAAAAAAGAAAGAAAGCCTCCGAGATTCTCTATTAATCATTATCAATGTATACAGAAATGTACAGGAGAGCAGAGAAAGCCAGAAGACCTTCCCCTGGGGAGCTGGCAGGTTAAAATTCAAATGAGGAACAGATAACAGAAGGAGTGGGTTGACAAGAGATAAATGGGAATGGATCTGTGCCACCACACCTTTCCCCCCCCCAAAAAAAAATGACACACAAGAGCAGCATGCTGGGTAGGGAGGGGAAAGTTACCTCTTTTTCATGCTCAATTCTCATGCTGGGGTTGGCATTGACTTCCAGCAAAATCGGCTTCAAGTTCTTCATCAGGAGAATGTCAAACCCTAAAATCTTTGGATGACAAACAGCAACACATTTTTATTCCCACCCCACCCAAAAAAAGCCTCCTTTATTTCTAGACTATGTGTGGCTGGAGGACCTGGCTAGTTATGCAGAAGACACGCCCAACATTTCCTCCTTTGGACAAGGAGTCACCGGTCCAAGACCTGCCCCGCCTCCAGCAGACTGTAGCCAGAACAGTCAAGCACCTGCTTGGCACAGCAAAGCCCCAGGTCAACCCTGCAGCATTCCCAGTTCAAGGATCTCGGGTAGTTTGAATTGGGAAAGGTCTTTCTCAGCCATAAAGCCTGGAGAGTCTCTCTGAATAGTTCACTCTTATTGGGCTAGATGAACCGATGGGCTGGCCCAGTACAAGTTTCACAAGTGAGGGTGGGCCTATAGTTCAGTGGCACCTGGAGAGTCTCTCTGAATAGTTCACTCTGATTGGGCTAGATGAACCGATGGGCCCAGTACAAGTTTCATAAGTGAGGGTGGGCCTATAGTTCAGTGGCGGTGCATCTGTTTTGGATGCAAAAGATCAGCCCAATCTCCAGCTAAAGGGGCTTCTGTGAAATAGCCCTCTAGACACCTGAAAATGGAGGCTCCATCAAGCTACTGTGGCTAGTGGCAGGAACCCACCATCCACTCATCCTTTCCCTGGGTTCATCCAATCGCTCTGTAGAGAGGTTGGAATCAAACAAAAATGTGTCATGATCAGGTCCTGTTGAAACCAGAGGAACCTGGTACTCATAATTCATTCATGTCCCATTGTTTTCAAGGGGGTATAGGAATTACTAGCCGAACTGGAGCCATTGGGTTTAGGAAACAGAGGTGCACCATTCTGCACTAGCCCAAGGAGAAAGTGGCAAGGATGTCCAAGGCCTGAGCAGCAGTCAAGGACCCCAGAGATCATTTCCGTGCCTCATCCAGGGCACCCTTATCACGAGGCCATCTGTGCTTTGGGTTCAGTCTGCAAGAACACTGAGACAAACATTTCCGGTGGTTCTTCCCTGCTTTCCATCCTCAAGAACATCAACATCTAAGCTGGAGCAATTTCAGAAACATTGCAAGTTTGACTTTGGGAGGGGGGGGGTGTCGGGCTTTGAGGGACTTGCCAAGAGGGTGAAGAAATCTGAACAATATGACACATGCCTGGGTGGCATGTGTGTTTGGTTTAGATACCCTGCCCCATGCCTTTGAGACAACATCGAAATAATGCGGATGGATAAATGCAGTTCCCAAATCCTCCTTTCTACTCCCTTGGATGATACAGGGCTCAGAAGGGAAAGGAGAACATGCAGTTTGGCCCCAGCATCCTGCGAACTCCAGCTACCAGATCCTGCCAGAAGATAAAATGTGCTGCGGCTACTTAGTAAATGCTTATCAAAAGTAAGCTGGGAGGAAGGCAGCCAGGGGAAAGGGGAGAGAAGGAACTCTGCCTGAGATGGATTTTTTTCAGCGGAGCATTTCGTTGTAGGTTTTTAAACACTAACTGGTAAATTGTTTCTCCGCCAGTTCTCTTGGTTTTAATGACACAGTCGGCTACCATAATCACAGCCTGGGACCATTAAACAGGGAGACTCGCCGGTGCTGTGATTCTGCAAAGGTCAGGAGCAATGCATTGCGATCTGCTCATCCCCCCCCCCACCTCTCCCAGTTGCAAAATCTGCCAGCAGCAAAGGAGTCATCTCCTGATTTAATTGAGCCCATGAAGGTAGGCGCCAAGTGGTATAACTGGGTATCCAGACAGGTCTCTAGGCTTGAAACAAGAGAGACACATTGAGAGAGAACGATTGTGGCAACCTCCTACCC